TTTACAAGATAATAAAAAAAATGAAGAAATAAAAAGGTTTAAAGTCCCTTGTAAGTAATACTTAGTAGCATTTATAAGAAATTAAGTTGCTTATTAATTATATTAACGGGCGACATGCCATGTCTTAGCCAGTAGGGTAAGGTGTGAACAATGCAGCCAACTATTTCCCAAGGAAATATTTGCTTCTTAATACAGCCTAAGAAGATATGGGGATGCTGCTTCACAAACGTATTCACAAACTGGGAAACTATGCTTAGAGGTAATGAATTGCGACAGAACAGTTCATGAAACCAAGCAGGGAAAGGAAAACTACTATCGCTCAGTATTTTGCTGAAACTTAAGTGGTTATGGCATAGGAACTGGATTATTATTAAAGACTTTCAAGCAAGATGTAACTGATGATGTGACTCAAGTTCAGAAGTTGATTGAAGTAGAACGTTGTATGATTTCTGGCTGGCCTAAATCGATTATGATCAAATTTGAGTCCAAGTTCTTGGAACAAAGATCCTTTCCATCCTTACGACAAGCATACTTCATTTGTACATGCAACGAGGAGACTAGGAGGAACGCTATGGTTTCACAGATCCTTAACCATTTGACAAAGCATGGTTGGATTGCCTAATTCTGCAAGAAGAAAAGAAGCATTCTACAGATAGAGATCAGTTTTTTTTTGTGATTATTGCGGTATAGAACAGGGCAACTAAGGAGTTCTGCTGGAAAATTACATTGGACGCCAACTAAGGGACGTGGAAGGAAAAGCGAGTCAGTTTCTTCTAGACCACAGACAGGCACACATATCTGATAGTGGAGCTTTATCTGAGGAACCATCTACTGCTGGAAGCTTTTCTAATAAGGAGATTCAGTCCCTGAAACGATTGTTGTCACAACTTGATTCGTCCTCAACCCAGACTGTTTCAGGTAATGCTTTCCTTACCTTTTTTGCAAAAATTGCAAAACCCTCTTAGGTTATAAATTCAGGAGCAAATAAACATACAACCGGCTCTAAAAAACATTTCCTCACATATTCTAAGTATTAAGGCACAGACAAAATTCGCATTGCGGATGGCTCCTTAGTACCAATTGCTGGCATAGGTTCTATTGACTGTACTTCCAATATTAAACTCACTTCCAATATTAAACTCTCCCCTGTTCTTCATGTTCCTAGATTTGCTATTAATCTGTTATTTGTTAGCTTAATCACAAAAGCGCTTAATCACAAAAGCACTTAATTGCAAAGTAACTTTTTACCCTACTCATTTTATATTTCAGGAACTAAACACGGGGAGAACGATTGTCATTGGTAGCTTGCGCGATGGACTGTATCTGTTGGATGATGTTTGTCGTTTTTCAAATTCGGGTACCAGTCAAGCTTTGTTAGGAATTTCTAGAAATCCTTCCATCCTTCCCATGAAAGGTTAATTCAATGGCAATAGGAGATTAGGACATCCCTCTTTTTTCTGTTTTAAAGGAACATTTATTTCCCAACTTGTTTGCTAATATGTGAAATTTTTAATTCATTAGTATGTGATGCTTGTGAACTTGCCAAACACCACCAGGCATTCTTATCTCTCCAATTAATATAAGAAATTGATCCTTTTGGCTAATATTCATTCGACGTTTAGGGTCCTACTAAAACTGTCCTCTCTTTCTCTGGTTTATAGATGGTTTGTGACTGATTGTTGCAACAGATTGACTTTGGGTTTTTATTTGATGAAAAAACAAAAAATGAAGTTTTTCGTGTTTTCAGAACTTTCCATAAAAATGATTTGTACTCAGTTTGATGCAACATGTTAAAAATCCTAAGAACTGATAATGGTACTAAATACATGAATGCAATTTTTCGTAACCTATTAGATTCTAATGTAATTACACACAGACTTAGTTGTGTTACTACTAGTGCTCTTAGATTCTAATGGTATTATTCATCAGACTGGTTGTGTCAATACTAGTGCTCAAAATGCATAGCAGAAAGGAAAAATAGGCATTTACTGGAAGTAGCTAGGTCCCTTATGTTCATTGTGAATCTTCCTAAACCATATTAGGGGGATGCTATTTTGATAGCTGCTTACCTTATCAATCGTATGCCTCTCGTACTTTAAATTTTAAAACTCCATTAGAGGTTCTTCAAGGAAAAAACTCTTATATTGTACCTCCTAATGTCTTTGACTATGTTTGTTTTGTTCATCAGAACGGTCTAAGTAAGTTAGATCCTATAGCCTTGAAGTGTGTGTTTGTTAGTTACTCTACTACTTAAAAAGAATACAAGTGTTATTATCCTCATTCTCGAAAATAATTTGCAAGTGTGGATGTTACCTTTTGGGAATTTGAGTCTTATTTTCCTTCCTAGTCACCTCTTCAGGGGGAGAAATACAAGATGGAAGAGGTGATGGATGACATTCCTTTCCAGTGGGAGATTCCTGTAGACATAGATAATAAGAGAGACCAACCACCCCAACCACTCAAATCTCTAGGAAGATTGGATAGACATGATTTGAAAACCTATACACGACAGACTAATACAGATACAACCATGGAGCATGATACGGATCCACTATCACCAACCACCTTCTGATCAACCGTCCTCTCGAATTTCAGTACCTGAAGATACCGAAGAATAAGAACTTGGTGAGTCTTCTTTAATTCCTGTTGATTCTGATCTTAATCTTGATTCCAGTCTTTCTGACAATGACCTCGATATTCCTATTGCTCTTAGAAAAGGAGTTAGAACATGGACTAAATATCCCATCTCCCATTTTATCTCCTATAATACTCTGTCCCCTTCCTATAGAGCCTTCGTTTTGTCTGTTTCTTCTATTTCTATACCGCAGGATTGGCAAGAGGCATTACAGGACTCAAAATGGAAGGCTCTACAATGGTTAAGGAGATGAGAGCTTTGGCAAAAAACGAGACATGGGATAATGTAACTCCTCCACAAGGAAAGAAGCCAGTTGGATGTAAAAGGGTGTTCAAAGTTAAACATAGGGCAGATGGTTCAATTGAGAGGTACAAGGCTAGATTGGTAGCCAAAGGATTCAATCAGACCTATGTAGTTGATTATCAGGAAACATTTGCCCCTGTAGCCAAGATGAACACAATAAGAATTTTGTTGTCTTGTGCAGTTAATCTTGACGGGGAGTTACATCAATTTGATGTTAAAAATGCTTTTCTACATGGTGATTTGAAAAAAGAGGTGTATATGGAGATTCCTCCTGGATTTGATGATGACAAAATTTGATGATGACAAAACCCGAGGAAAATTTTGCAAGCTGAAGAAGTCATTATATGGGCTGAAACAATCACCAAGAGCATGGTTCGAAAGGTTTAGTAAAGCTATGGTTTCTTTTGGGTATATTCAGAGCGATGCTTATCATACTTTGTTCATTAAACATCATGAAGGTAAGCTCACATTGCTTATTGTTTATGTTGATGATATAGTGATGACTGGAAATAATGAAGAAGAAATGACTCACTTGAGAAATTTTTTAGTTAGGGAGTTTGAGATTAAGAATTTGGGAAAGTTGAGATATTTCCCTGGAACAGAAGTTGCTAGGTTAGGAAAAGGGATATTTATTTCTCAGAGAAAGTACATCTTTGATCTCCTTAAAGAAACTGGTGTGTTGGGATGTGTAAACCTGCAGAATCACCTATTAAAGCCAATCATAAGCTTCAAGCTGAGTGGGAAGTTCAGTTGATGTTGACAGATATCAGAGATTGGTCGGGAGGTTGATTTACCTTGTCCATACTTGATTTACCCTTGTCCCTAGACCAGATATTGCCTATGCTGTAAGTTCAGTGAGTCAGTACATGCATGACCCTCGGGAGTCTCACTTAGAAGCAGTGCATCGAATTCTAAGATATTTTAAATCAGCTCCAAATAGAGGACTTTTATTTTCTAAACATGGCCATTTAACAATAACAGGCTATACAGATGCGGATTGGGCTGGTTCCCTTGATGACTGGAGATCAACCTCAGGTTACTGTGTTTTTGTTGGAGGAAACCTGGTCACATGGAGAAGCAAGAAGCAGGCTATTGTTGCAAGATCTAGTGCAGAAGCTGAATATAAAGCTATGGCACAAGGAATCTGTGAACTTCTATGGTTGCGCAGATTAATAGAAGATTTAAAGTTGGTTGAAACAACAAATATATCCTTAATTTGTGATAGTAAAGCAGCCATCAGTATTATGAATAATCCAGTCCAGCATGATCGAACAGTCCAGCATGATCGAACTAAGCAAATAGAGATTGATCGTTACTTTATAAAAGAGAAGATAGTTGAAGGTTTTCTAAGTGTCTCCTACATAGCTTCAAAAGAGCAACTAGCTGATGTTTTCACAAAGGGTTTGCATAGCAAGTTGTTTCATCCTTTAGTTTGCAAGTTGGCAAGTTTGGGCATGGGGCATGAGTAACATCTATGCACCAACTTGAAGAGGAGTATTGAAATCTTTATGATTAAAGTAAATATTGTGTTTCCTAGTTTAGGTTTATTCCTAATTAGTGTAAAGATTGTGTTTCCTAATTTAGATTTATTCCTAATTAGTGTAAAGATTGTGTTTCCTAGTTTAGGTTTATTCCTATTTAGATTGCTTTCTGTATTGGAACAATTTTTTGAATATATATTGTGGAGTAGATGTTGAAAAATATAACACAGTTGAAAGAAATAAAACATATTCTTTCCTTTAATTTCTACAAACTTCAATAATACAAACTTCATTGATTTCTTTAACACTTGTATACAAGAGATATTACATAATCTAAGTGCAAAAGAATGGCTTTCTGTCAGCCCGATGCCTAAGCCTTAACTTGCCTTTTAACTTGCTAACCCATACTTAGCTTTTTTAATATTACAAGCAAACTTTATTTTCACCTAACCCCCACCTAACCCCCCCCAACTAAAATAGACTTCTTGTCACAACAGGCTTTGTGACAGAAAAACAAAAATAGAATTCCCTACAAAAAACTAATTAACTAAAAAGTAAAAGCCAATTTGCAGTTCTTGCAGTTCTCAACAAATCTACTCTTTTAACAAGTCAAGTTACTGAAGCTATCAAAATTAAATGTCAAAAATCAAGAATAGATAGTACCTTCAGCATCAGATTCTTTGCTGACTGCTTAGGCAAACAAGAATCAAGATATTGATACCATGCATAAGAACCAGGGCCATAAAAAAGAAACCCATAAGAAGTCATCCGCAAGGCACGAAGCCAATCATGGTCCAAAAGGATGGCCCCCATAAGATCCTAAGCAACAGAAGTGGGTTAAAATCAAAAATTAAACAGCTGAAAGCACTACTTAGCTAATGCAAAAACATAGGAAAAGGAGAATTTAGAGGATTTCCTGAATGCATCAATTCTAACGATGAGCAAAAATCAATAATATGTGATGAACAGCAGTTGCATGAATAATATGAAACTAAATGTAGCCTCCACTACTACATAGAGTAATGGAGACTATGTCCCCACTTGCAGTACTAGAATTGGAGGCCTCATATGGAAGGGGAAGGCATATTTTGTTTGAGGCATATTTGTTGTTGATTACCATCATCCTATTTAAAAAAATTGATTGGCAATTGCAATTTAAGCTTATAACTTTATTCGCCACTTATTTTATCTTTAACTAATACATACTGTGTGTTATTTTCACAGGCAATAAATTGAAAATGTCTGGCCAATAGAAATTATGAGAATGACCGCAACGTTTTCAGTTTTTTGGGAGATTAGATTTTGTTTAAAGGGAAAGGTGTGGAGGCTTGAACCTGTTGGCCCCTAACAATTACAAGACAACACAAAAGACATCAAATGGATAAATAGAACATTTTTTTTGTAAACATAAAAGAATAAAGAAGAAGTTCATTTCACACTGCCATAAATATTACAGTAATTTTTGAATTAAGAAATCAAAGATAAAAAAACATATCCATCACCAAATGTTCATCAGCCAGGAAAGAATAAGCATTTGATAACTACCAGAATAAAAAGAAAACCAAATTGATTTTATAAAAACCTGACAGAAATCGATATGACTTTGTGCTTTCTCTTTCAATAAAAAAGTTAATAAGTTCAGCTATAAACAAGAGATACAAGCGTAAGAAAATCATATAGCATTCTATTTGTCCCTCTACTACAAATAAATTCATTATATCAAAAAGGAAAACCAACACTAACCTTGTCGTCGGCTAATAATCATTAGAAAGGGAGAAAACAGAGTTTTGGGATGGAGGCTTTATTGTTTAGCCAGCGGGTCTCTAACTTGGGCGATTGGTTGTCCTCCAGCAAGTGCGAGAGAACCCGCCGTCACAGCTTGCTTTAAAGGGAAACTGGGACGGCCTCCTTCCACTTCCAATCATAGGATTTTCGACGTCATTACTTTTACAACTAATATGGCTTACGTTTTCTTAATTTCCCTGTTCCACCCCCAAAAAAACCCGCCATTGCCCACCGCGTAAAAGCTTCCATCAACAAACTCAACCCACTGAGAAAACCTGGACGAAATTTTTGTATCCCGCCAACACCCTACAGATATTCTATTTTCGCTATTTTCAACACCTAAAATTTTTAGTAAATTGCTCCTTTGAACTCCTGATAATTTAATCAAGCAATATTTAATTGGTCTTTAATTTCAAAAAATTAAAAAGAAAATTATGATAATAGTCCCTGTATGTTTGTAAAAAAACTATTTTATTCCCTTAATTTTTAAAAGTTAGACTATTGTAACTTGTATTTTGGAGTCCATTGTACTATGTTACCCTTTTCATGACCAATTTTTATGATTTTAATAATATAATCTGAAGAAAAACCTAGGGGAGTCAAAATGGACTATGACACCCGGCGATACAACGATTCATCTAACACGTAAAATAAACGGGTTAAGGGTTTTATGTTAAATAAGTTAGTGTCATAAACGGGTCACTCATTTATGACAATGAATAATAATGTTGTCGTGTCAATGGATTGGACACAGAAGGTTAGGTAAGTGACCCGTTTATTTTAAAAGATAAAGAGATAATTTTGTGTAAATAATATAAATACCTAATAAAAAATCCTATTTAAATTTATTATTGTATTAAATTTTTTGTTGATTTTAGTTATCGAATCTTAGAGAATCTATATATTTTATATATATTTATTATTTTTAAAATATTGAATTTGAGTAATAGGTTAAAACTTAAAAATAGTCAATAACAGAGTTAAGTGGGTTGTATAACGGGTCAACCGACTTACTTAACCTGTTTATTGCTATTAGGCGGGTTACACTTGTTCATGTTCGTGTCACCTGCCTAATTTCATATGTGGTTTTATGTTGCGAAATTTGACAGCGATTATTAAAGGTTTGTGATTGTGTTGGACTCTAATCGTGCCGCGTGTTAGGCGAATCTCCGTGTTTGAACCATACACATGAATCCGCTTTAACACCCTTAAGAAACCTACAAAATAAGGACAAAGAAGAAAATTTTTTTTCCAACAAAACCCCTTTTCATTTACTCTTTTTGATTGTTTAGTTATTTAAAAAAAATAGCATCACAGAAAACGCATATCAATTTTCAAGAGACTCCAATCTGGGGTTTAGTAACACTAAACTACTATCAACTACACAACGAGTTTCAGACTCTAGCGACTTTTGGATCTGCATCTAAGATAGTCGAAACGTTCATAACTCAATTCAAAAATCCAATTATTCAACAAAGCTTTCTAACTTCATGGTTTTATTCACAAATTCAAACTCAATTACTTATTCAAGTGCTTGGAAATATATAGTGATGCTTAAATTGAAAGCTTGCTCTAGTATTTAAATCAAATCTTGTTTTATTATTTTCTATTTTAATTTGTTTTTAAGATGGCAAGTTTTTTAAATGCCAATATTTTTCTAATAATTAGAATTTGGGCCATTGAAAAATGGCATCGCAGACAGGTGGATGGAAGAACCATGGGTATGCTCTTGAACAACAATTTGTTTTTTTTTTTTTTTTTTTTTTTTTTTTTTTTTTTTTTTACAGTTTCACTAACGATTCCCAAATTGATAAATCGAGAAAATTATTTTCGGTCCCTAAGGTTTTATAAAATATATTAGTTCGTCCTCACTTGTTTGTACAAATTATTCCAACAATCCCTTGTGTCTGCCTCCGTCTGATTCTTTAAGTCCCCTTCCAATCAAAAGTAAAACATTTTTTGTTAATTTTTTGGGTAAAGAGACAGAAATACCCTCATTAATATCATGTAAATGGTACAATGAATAAATTAAAAATACTAAAAAAAATCAACAACATAAAAATATTAATGTAACGTCCTAACACCATGTATCCAAGGATAATGGTTGCTAAAATGCTATATAACATATCACACAGATCTTTTAGTAGAGGTATAAATTCACAATCAAAATGTTTGGGCACAACAGAAATCAGTATCGAAATAAATTTCTTACTTTTCCACATACAGTCCATAATTGGTGAACCCTCCCCCGAAGGCAAATTATGTTTTAATGAGGTATGCTCACATGTGGTGTTTTATGAAGTCGCCACCCTAATTTTTTATAAGGGAAAAACTAAGAAAAGAACCCTAAATGACCCATTTTAATTAATCTAAGGTTTTTTCCCTAGAATAATTACCCCCAAATTTAAGGCATAATCTACGAACCCGAGGTGGATCCCGAGACTATGTCATGCTGATTAACTACCTAAGTGTAATGCTTTTGCAAAGTAAATTGAATGCAATTGGACCAGTAAAGTGTTTTTGGTGATTTTCGACTGTGCTCGGGGTTAAATCCCGAACGTGCCTACGTTAACTCTTCGTTTGAATGAGAAGATCAAAAGCCGATGTAGTTCGATAAAGCCCTCTTCAAAGGCAATTTTGAAAGGGGTATGCTTCATGCCTGAGTGTGGTGCCATGCTTCGTGCATTTTTTTTTAGGCATTTTTGCCCAAGGATTGATTGAATTTTTTTGTTTTTAGGCATTTGTTTCCAAAAGTGTTTTGATTGGGCAATTTATTGCCAAAATTGATGTTTGGCTATTTGTCGCCAAAATGGTTGATAGGTATTTTGTGCCAAAAAGTTGATATTTGAATTAGGTAATTTTGTGCCAAAGATTGGTTAGGCGATTTAATCCGCCAGAGTGATTGAATTTAAGGGCATTTGTGCCAAAGCGGTTTTGTTGGGCAATTTGTCGGCCAAATGATTAAGGCATTCGTGCCAAAAGATGATAGTGTAATTTAGGCAATTTATTGCCCAAAGAAAAATGTGATATTTGGGCCGATTTATCGCCAAAATGGTTATTTGAATTATAGGCAATTTGTTGCCAAAACGTGATTGAATTAAAACTGTAGGCAATTTGTTGCTAAAAAACGTGAATTGATTAAGGCTTAGCCACAATTTATTGAATTTAATTGAGCTTTTAGCCGAACTGTTCGAAATAAAGGCAATTACACCGTAATTATTAATTAACTAGGCAATTTAGCCAATATATTCGGAGTTAAGCATTAATACCAACGATTATTGATTAACCGGACATTTTTTAGCCTAAACTATTTAACTTAAGGCAGCTTTTGCTACCAAATGACGATAGTGTGAATGCAGTTTATTTAAATTAGAATTTAGAGTAGAAAGAGAATATGCACAAATGCCTGAAATTAAATGGGCAGAGTTTTCGTTATTACCTGAGTTTAATTCGCGGCCGCTTCTTAGTTCAGTTTTGAAGAAAAATTTTCAGATTAAGCCTCCTCCGTTTGGGGAATATTAAATTAAAATTAATTCAATTAAGTGACCCAAATATCACTAACAGCAGAGTAATAAAAGCCTAAAACTAATGCTGGGAAGAAGCAGTAGAAAGAAACCGAAGGAGCGTAGGAAAGAGAGAGAGAGGCGTCCCGTAGCACAAGACCGAGTGAAGTAAAACTGTTGATTCGGGGCTGTATTTATAGGGAAAACCAAGGCTGGGAGGGCGGCTTGCTGCCCCTGGACGGCGGCTGCTGTTTACCCTAATCCTGTCCACATCGCTAGTTTTTTGTTCCAAAGGCTTTTTCGGAAGTTCCGTACTCCAAAAAAATAATTCCGGGACCAGTTCTGCGATCCTCATAAATTTTTCCGGACGTTTCAAGTACCATATTTGCAGGCTGCTGTACCCTATTCTGTCCACTCGCTAGTTTTTCGTTCCAAAGGCTTTTTCAAGGAGTTCCGTACCTCCAAAAAATATTCCGGGAACTAGTTCTGCGATCCTCGGTAATTTTCCGGACGTTTCAAGTACTATATTGGCATACTTTCGGTGAATTTTTCGAATGCCTCCGGTCAAGCGGAACTGTTTTACAGTCCGGGAAAACAGGCTTTTTTGAGCCTCAAAATTTGAGTATTCGCAGTTGCCCCCCAGCGGCAACCATAAAAAATTGATTTATGGGAGGTCGTGGTTGTCTGAAAAATAAATTTTGAAGGCAAAAATCGGGACGCGTCCAGAAGCCCGCCTTTTGGCTATTTCCTTATATAATAGCTGAAGTTGCACTTTTGACATTCAATTTTTACTTCAAAACTCAAAGATTTCTCTCAAATCCTCTCGAAATTTGAGCCAAAAAAAGGCAAGTTTTTCTCTAGGAAATCAGTTAGTTTCGTTCTTCTTCTTCTTTTTTTTCAAAAATGATTCCTCGTATTTTTCCTGACGTTTCCAAGTACCAATAGCATACTTCGGTGAACTTTTCGAAATGACCTCCGGTCTGGCCGGAACTGTTTGCAGTTCGGGAAAACAGGCTTTTTGAGCCCTCAAAATTTGAGTATTCACAGTTGCCCCCAACCGCAAACCATTAAAAAATGATAATGGGAGTCGGTGGTTGTCCTGAAAAAAACAAATTTTGAATGTGAATAATCGGACGCGTCCAGAAGAACCCGCCTTTTGGGCTAAAATTTTTCCTTAAAATAGCTGAAAGTTGCACTTTTACATTCATTTTTAACTTTCAAACTCAAAGATATTTCTCTCAAAATCCTCTCGAAATTTGGAGCCAAAATCGACCCCGCCGTCAGAAAGCCCGCCTTTTTGGCCTATTTTCCTTATAAATAGCTGAAGTTGCACTTTTACATTCATTTTTAACTTTCAAACTCAAAGATTTCTCTTCAGAATCCTCTCGAATTTGAGGCCAAAAAGGCAGTTTTCTCTAGGAAATCAGTCAAGTTTCCTTCTTCTTCTTCTTTTTTTTCAAAAATGATTCCTCGGTAATTTTTCCGGACGTTTTCAAGTACCATATTGGCATACTTTCGGTGAACTTTCGCGAATGACCTCCGGTCCGGCCGGACTGTTTGCAGTTCGGGAAAACAGGCTTTTTGAGCCTCAAAATTTGAGTATTCACAGTTGCCGCCCACCGGCAACCATAAAAAATGATTTATGGGAGTCGGTGGTTTGTCTGAAAAACAAATTTTGAAATGTGAAAATCGGACGCGTCCAAGAAGAACCCCGCCTTTTGG